CGGGCCTGACCTAGGGTGAATTTTAAATAGGGACAATTTTTAATGATTTTAAATAGCCACAGCCACTAATATTTGGATTTTAATTGGTTTTTAGAAGGGGTAATTCTGTATATTGTTTTAACATGCTGTGAGCCGCCCTGAGTCCCATGGGGAGAAGGGCGGCATATAAATTTTGTAAAATAAATAAAATAAAATAAATAAATAAACTAGACATACCCAATTCCAGCAACCGTTCCTTATATGTTTTAGCCTCCAGTCCCCTGATCATCTTTGTTGCTCTTCTCTGCACTCTTTCCAGAGTCTCAACCTCTTTTTCACATTGTGGAGACCAAAACTGGACCAAGCGTGGTCCATGATGATTTGAATCCAGATGAATGTGTCGAATCCAGACGACACATTTCCGGGCATTTCTATTAATACCACGGAGGTTATCTTGGCTTGTCTTTTGGCAACTGAAGTCCTTGTCTCCCTGGCCGTGTCAACGATGTATAAAGTGTCTTGGCTTCGAATCAGAAGCGAAAAGATCCAGACAGCAAAAAATTGGCAAGAGGAGAAACTTCCTTCGGGGCTGGTAGCTGTAAAAACATCTGTTGTGTGAACTGCTAATAGATTAATCGTCAAGAGGGACTAAAAGGGGATTTGGGAAAAAGGGCCTCCTCGCCTCGTTAGCAATAATGCAGGTAGTCCTCGCCTTAACGACCCCGATTGAGCCCCAGATTTCCGTGGCTAAGCGAGGCAGTTTGTTACGCGGGTTTTGCTCCCCTTTTACGACCTTTTTCTTGCTACCGTTGCTAAGTGAGTTGGTGAAGTTGTTTAGTAATGCGGTCGTTAAGCGAATCTGGTTCCCCCCCTTGATGTTGCTTGCCAGAAGGTCGCCAAAGGGGATCACGTGACCCCCGGGGATGCTGCGGCCATCTTGAATACGAGTCAATTGAATTTTGATCACGTGACCCTGGGGTCGTTAAGCGTGAAAAACAGTCCTAAGTCGCTTCGTTCAGGGCCGTTGTGACTTCGAACGGTCACTAAATGGACTGTTATAAGTTGAGGACTACCTAACCATGAAGTGTCCTTTGGGGGGGGGAAGATAATTCCGTTCAGTAGCAAAACTTATTGATGCATTGAATGTGGTGGGATCTGCACTGCCAAACTGGTATCCTCTAAAAAAAATGCATTGGACTACGATTCCCAGAATGCCGTGCCAGCCAGCTGGGGGTTCTGGAAGTTGTAGTGCTGGTCCAGTTGGGGTGTCCCCATTAGGAAAGGCTGTGCTGATGGAATTCCAACACTTTTTTTGGGAGGAAGTGTTGGGCTGCAAACCAGGTTTAGTTTAGTCCTGCCTACGTGTGACATGCCGTGTCACTCATGTCTGGTGTTTGTGGACTGGTCCAACCAACACTGGAGGTGTTTAAGAAGAGATTGGACAGCCAGTTGTCTGAATGGTGCAGGGTTTCTTGCCTGAGCTGGGGGTTGGACTAGATGACCTCCAAGGTCCCTTCCACCTCTGTTATTCTGTTATAGTCTGTTCTGTTATTCTGCAACGGTCCTTTTAGTGATAGGATAACTTTTACCTCTCTTTTTATCTTTTAAAAGATAAAGAGCTCTACAGAACTCTCTCTCTCTCTCTCTCTCTCTCTCTCTCTCTCTCTCTCTCTCTCTCTCTCTCTCTCATCTATTCATATCTATCCATCTACCCATATCTTTTTGTCTACTTATGTCTGTCTGTCTGTCTGTCTGTCTGTCTAGCAATTTCTCTCTCTTTCTCTCTATCTAATCTGTTCATATCTAGCCACCTACCCATATCTTTCTGTTTACTTATTACTATCTCTCTTTCTTTCTCTATTATCTATTCATATCTATCATATCCATATCTTTCTTTCTACTTATTACTATCTATCTATCTATTCCTCTCTCTCTTTCTCTCTCTCTCGATTATCTATTCATATCTGTCCACCTAACCATATCTTTCTGTCTTCTTATTATTCTCTCTCTCTCTTTCTCTCTTATCTGTTCATATCTATCCTACCCATATCTTTCTGTCTACGTATTACTATCTCTCTCTCTCTCTCTCTCTCTCTCTCATCTATTCATATCCATCTATCCATATCTTTCTGTCTACGTATTACTATCTCTCTCTCTCTCTCTCTCTCTCATCTATTCATATCTATCCATCTATGCATATCTCTCTGTCTACGTATTACTATCTCTCTCTCTCTCTCTCTCTCTCTCTCTCTCTCTCTCTCTCTCTCTCTCTCTCTCTCTCTCATCTATTCATATCTATCCATATCTTTCTGTCTACATATTACTATCTAGCCATCTCTCTCTCTCTTTCTCTCTCTCTGCCTCCCCATTCGACCTCCCCCCCCCTCCCCTGGTGCCCATTGCAAAAGGTGAATAATTTATTTCTCCCCATCCTGCTTCCTGCTTTTATTTCTGTGCCTGTAATGCTCACCAGCCACGGCCTGAATCATTCATAAGCTGCCTTCCAGAGCTGCAGGGAGCCCTCTCCCCAAAAGAGGAGGCTGAGATACACGTGGGAAGTCCTTTCGTAACGCAGCATAACATTTCCACGAACGTGGAAGGAAAAACATTGGGATCAGCTCCGTTCCTGCAGTTACAGCTCTCCCCCTCCCGTTTCCTCGGAGAGCGTACACTAGGGGGAGAGGACTTTAAGCCACAATGGGTGGTCCTCGACTTACGACCGATCGCTTAGCGACGGTTTGAAGGTATGATGGCCATCCTCTGCCCCTGAGGTCACTTGAGCTACATTTCCGGGGCTCGGCAAGCAGCCCGCATTGACAGCCCTTTGCGGGGTCTTACACTCATCCGACTGTAATTTTGGGGAGAAGCCCCCCTTGGCAAGAACTGGTCCATTCCGACGACTCGCTGACACTCTGCCTACCCAAAATTTAATTTCGACTGAAGAGGTGGTTATTTGGAGGTGCAACAAAACGTCTCGGGGTTTAAACCAACTTTGGTCCTGTTGCCAGGATTGAACCTTGTGAAATATTCCTGGATTTAAGCGTTCCAGTGGATAGGTACGGCCCATCGCAGGGGTCACCAATCTTTTTTGGATTGGCGGCCCGGTGGGAGAGGGAGGGGCAGACAATATGGAATGGAATGGAATGAAATAGAGTAGAGTAGAGTAGAGTAGAGTAGAATAGAATAGAATAGAATAGAAAGTAGAGAGTATAGAGCAGGGGTAATCAACCTTGGCTCTTTTATGACTCGTGGACTTCAACTCCCAGAATTCCTGAGCCAGCATGGCTAGCTCAGGAATTCTGGGAGTTGAAGTCCACGAGTCATAAAAGAGCCAAGGTTGACTACCCCTGGTATAGAGTATAGAGTATAGTAGAGTAGTCCTTGGAGGTCATCTAGTCCAACCCCCTGCTCAGGCAGGAAACCCTGTACCATTTCAGACAAATGGTTGTCCAGTCTCTTGAGGCCCCCACAAGCTAATTTCAGTCATGGATCCTCTTCCTTGTCCTCCTTCTTAATGGCAGGACTTAGATGAGGGGGTCTCCAAACTTGGCCCCTTCATGACATGTGGACTTCAACTCCCAGAATTCCCCAGCCAGCCATGCTGGCTGGGGAATTCTGGGAGTTGAAGTCCACACCTCTTCAAGTCGCCAAGTCTGGAGATCCTTGACAGATGAAAAGCGGTGGTACGTTCACGAGATGTTTCTCTTAACTCAGTTGCTCCAGGGTTTAACCCAGTTCTTCTTCCCTTTTTTTTTTTTTGCAGGGGTCTCACAAGCCCTGATGGACCTCTGAGAATTTGCATCCGGCCAGCTGGAAGAGCATGGTTAAACACCAGCCACTCCAATATTACGAGCCCCAGTTGTGTTTGTCATGCCTGACGGGAATTTATGGATGCCGGTGGAAGCGATACCAGCGGTCACATGATGACACCACAAAGGTGAGCCACTGGTGGGCCGGGATGGCCATTTTTGTATGGGCGAGTCCCGACGTTGGGGCCTGAGACCTTGATTTGGTAATAAAGCCTAAGTGCCAGGAAACTGGATTGCAGATGCTTGTGACCTGGGACCGGAAGCTGGGTTGCAATCAACTAGATTAGAACAATTAACCAATGGAAGCTACATTTGTGGGGTCCTTGGTGCTCTCTGAGCTTGGTTGTGTTTTTTTTGCAGACGTCTCATTACCCAACTAGGTAACATCATCAGTGCTAGAAGGGGCGGCGGTGTTTGCTCTCTGCTTATATACAAATGGCTTGGCTTGTCAGGGTTGATGAGAATGTTCTTGGTTGTTCCTTGATTAGGTTGTGGTTTACTGTTAGCTTGTTCGTCTGAATAGGAAGTTCCTTGCTTGGGGCATTGTTTATTGGTGGATTGTTGGTCTAGGCCTGGGTTAATCCTGGTGTTAATCTCTGCTTATCTGGGTGTTGATTGCTGGTGAAGAGATGTCCTGATCTTTCAGCTTTTTGAATTTCTCTTGTGAATGGTAGGTAGATGTTGTTTATATGTGCCTGTGGACGGTTGATTTGACTGAATCAGAAGTTGTTGATATAGAAGCCTAGTTGGCAAAGGAAAAAAGCTAGAATAAGGTTGAAAAAACTGGGATTTTGACTCATTAGAGTGGGTTTTATATTGCCAATTAGAGGGTTAAAGGGAGATGTTGAGATAAGGGGAATTTTGGTTATTAGATTTATAATATTTGGAAACCAGTTGAAAACAAGGATTTTATTGGTTTAATATTTAAAAATTAGACTTAAAAGGGAAAAGAAAGTTAAATATTATGAATATGATTTATTGATTAACCCAGGCAATATATATAATGGTTTTGATTTACTAAAGGGGACATTGTGTTATTAAGAAGATGATTTAGTATGATGGGAAATGGATAACTTTTAGGAAATGGAACAAGATTATATTCAAATACCGGCAGATAAAATATGTATTTTGGATATTACAGTTTGTTGTGAAGTGAGATAAGGCAAAATTTGGTTACCCAAAGTCTGAAAATTATAAATATCAAAGGTTAAATTGGAATATTGATAAGAAATTAAAAAGTGAGTAAAAATCAATAACAGGATATGGATTGTTTATGAAGATTGAATGTAATTAAGATATGTATAAGCTAAAAAGTTATTGATAAATGTAATAATGATGTTCTTATTGAGTTGATATAATTAGAAATGTACTAACCTGAAAATGAGGCAGTAAATGTTAAGGGAAAAGAAGAAGAAATATTTGATGTGGTAACCTGAGATTTGCACTAAGATTTTGTTATTGAACTATTGTAACCCAGTCACCACGTTGCTTTTTAAATATTCAAATGTAAAATTGGAAAATTAATAAAATATTATATATATATATATATAAAAAGAAGAAGTTGTAGATCAGGGGTCTTCCAACTTGGCCTTTTTATGACTTGTGGACTTCAACTCCCAGTATTCCTCAACCAGGCACGCTGGCTGAGGAATTCTGGGAGTTGAAGTCCACAAGTCATAAAAAGGGCCAAGTTTGAAGACCCCTGTTGTAGATACATGAGGTTCTCGCTTAATGGCAGTAACTGGAGACTTCTGGAACTGCCGTTGTTAAGTGACATGTTAAAGAGTACTACCTGTAGTTTTTTTAAAATAAGGAAATAAGTGACTGAGCCCAAAGCTGTGGAAATGCCTCCGAATTTTCAACAAGCATCTATTTGTTGATTTCTTCTCCAATTACCCTCTGCACATCTAAGAATTCAGAATTTGTTGGAAGCGGTATATAGGGCCTCCTGCATGAGCAGAGGGTTGGACTAGAAGACCTCCGAGGTCCCATCCAACTCGATTATTCTATGTTCTAATTGTGTTGGTTTTAAAAATGGACTTTAATGTTTTGGTATTCCTGCCTTGGAGTTTCGCTTGATTGATGTTTCTCTACCTTGACAATTCTAAGATGGGTGGACTTCACTCCCAGAATTCCCCAGCCAGCATGGGGGAACTATGGCCCCTTCATAACTTGTGGACTTCAACTCCCAGAATTCCTCAGCCAGCATGGGGGAACTATGGCCCCTTCATGACTCGGGGACTTCAACTCCCAGAATTCCTCAGCCAGCATGGGGGAACTATGGCCCCTTCATGACTGGTGGACTTCAATTCCCAGAATTCCTCAGCCAGCATGGGGGAACTATGGCCCCTTCATGACTGGTGGACTTCAACTCCCAGAATTCCTCAGCCAGCATGGCTCAGCTTGAAAACCTCTCCCTTTTCCCTCAGCATGGCTGGCTCAGGAATTCTGGGAGTTGAAGTCCACGAGTCATAAAAGTGTCAAAGTTGAGAAACACTACCTGAGATGATCAAACCTTTACTCCTGGTGATGCTAGTTATCAGAAGAACAATTTAAGGAAGTTTTCGTGCCCAAAGCTATAACATTCCTTGCCTCGTTTTGAACCATTGATTCTGTTTGATTTACCATAATTTAATTTTTCGTCCTCTAAGAGTGAAGCTCCTTTTAGACACCCCATCTCTGCATCCTTCTTGGTTTTCAGCCCCAAAACCTCCCTTATATTTGGTGCAAAAGCTTTCAAAAATTAGGAGTAGCTTCCGAGGGGGTTTTAAAACGGCAAATTATCCGAAAATGTTATTTGCAAGAGGCTAAAAGCTGGAGAGTAGAAGAACATTTACATTTCCTCCAAGCAAGATTTATTTTAATAGAAAGAAGGGTCGGAAAACTTTGTTGTTTTTTAAAAAATAAACGGTTCAAGGGTTCTCTTTTCTCCCGATGGCTCTATATACATGCTGGATTTAATTAATATTTCAAGAGATCGGCAAGGAGATAGCCCAGCTGTCTCTCCTCCTGCATCTCAATTTATAGCGGTAATAAGAGGACACTCTATATAGCCAGTCATTTTTGTACCACACAAGCATCTTTCAAGGTTTCTTTGCTACCCTGAAACCGGAGGAAATTGCAGCTTACAAAAGCTGATGCTTTTGAATAAAACGGGTTAGTTGGAAAAGGCACTTCCAGATTCCTAATTTTTTAGTAGACTATGGCTGTCCTCCTGTGACTTCTTCTTATGCTAAATCAGAGGTCTTCAAACTTGGCCCTTTTATGACTTGTGGACTTCAACTCCCAGAATTCCTCAGACAGGCACCTTCCCTCCCAGCAGGCTGGGAGTTGAAGTCCACAAGTCATGAAGGGGCCATAGTTCTCCCATGCTGGCTCAGGAATTCTGGGAGTTGAAGTCCACCAGTCATGAAGGGGCCATAGTTCCCCCTTGCTGGCTCAGGAATTCTGGGAGTTGAAGTCCAGAAGTCATTAAAAGGGCCAAGTTTGAAGACCCCTGTGCTAAATCTTTCAGGAGTCTGAGGTGCACATGGCAAAACCAGCCAGAAATGGAATTTTTCGGAGCTACCGTATTTAGGATCGAAAAGGAGAAATTCAGATTTCAGAGCTGGCACTCAAAAACCTGAATTTTCCCCTTTTGTTCCCAAATAAACCCATAAACCAGAGAAGAGAAGAGAATTACAGAATAGAAGAGAATTACAGAATAGAATAGAATAGAATAGAATAGAATAGAATAGAATAGAATAGAATAGAATAAAGCTGGAAGGGACCTTGGAGGTCTTCTAGTCCAGCCCCCTGCTTGAGCAGGAGAACTATACCATTTCAGACAAGTGACTGTTTAGTCTCTTCTTAAAAACTTCCAGTGACTTCCAGTGGAATTGACAGGCTGAATCTGTCAACTTTGTTGACAGGCTGAATCTGTCAACTTTGAAACGGGTAGACTTCAACTCCCAACATTCCTCAGCCAGCGTGCTGGCTGGGGAATGCTGGGAGTTGAAGTCCACCCGACTCAAAGTTGCCCAGGTTGAAAAACAGTTTATTAGGACCATTGAATGGTTCCTCAAACATGCTTTCAATCCATTGAAAATGTTGATTTCTTGTCCGTATTGCTGCCTCTAGCTCTTTTTGGATAGCTGACGATCACAGGCTGTACAAACAAACAAACAAACAAACATGCATTTGAGGTTTGCTGAAAGGCTGCTGTTCCAGGAGACACTCTAGGAAGAGAGCCTTGTTGTCTATGGCAACCAAAAACCATCCAGCATGTCTTTGGACTAGCAATTTTATTATAAGCATTCCTTACGACCAAAAGTAGGACTACAGTTAAGCAAATAACTATAATAATAATAATAAAGTTGGAAGGGACCTTGGAGGTCTTCTAGTCCAACCCCCTGCTCAGGCAGGAAACCCTATACCATTTCAGACAAATGGCTGTCCAGTCTCTTCTTAAAAACTTCCAGTGTTGGAGCATTCACCGCTTCTGGAGGCAGGTTGTTCCACTGGTTAATTGTTCTAACTGTCAGGAAGTTTCTCCTTTGTTCTAGGTTGCTTCTCTCTTTGGTTCGTTGTTAAATGAATCACGAGGTCATTAAGCAAATCCGGCTTTCCCCATTGACTTTGCTTGTCGGAAGCTGGCTGGGACGTTCGCAAATGGTGGTCATATCAATGCATAAATAAATATAAATATAAATATAAATGGTGGTCATATAACGATGCTGCAACCATTGTAAATAGGTGCTGGTTGCCAAGCGCCCGGATTTTGATCACTTGCGATGCCGTGATAGTCATAAGTGCGAGGACCGGTCGTAAGTCACTTTTTAAAGTAGTGTTGCGACTCCGAACCGTCTCTAAATGAATCGTTGTAAGTCAAGGACAACCTGCCAAAGGCAGAAGCTTTGGCGAAGGCTCCTTCTAATAAAAGGGCAAAGATCTTTCATTCTTTTTCCAGACGACTCGGGTGCCAAGATTTGAGTGTTTAAAAGCCAGCTTCCTCTTGCCACAAATGTGTGTGTGTGTGTGTGTGTATTTGTGTGGGAGTGCGAGGAAAAGGGCCCTACAGCCAGCCCGCAGCAGCAAATACTACAAGCTGTGTTGCCCTTTGCAAAACCCATTTTAAATTAAATCATTA